TACATCAGTATGGTATGATTTTGCATAGGTCCTTCATGTCAGGTCACTTCTCATGGTTTGCCTTCTAAGTTCATGCTTGATACCCAACATTCCTAAACAGAAATCGCTGTGTGCAGTAACTGGATCCCCATGGATGTGATACCCTGTCCTACCCATCAGGGGGTTAAGAATAATGGTTGTTTAACCTTGCAATAAAGGGAATAAACTTTATGATGTCTAGTATTTTAGGAGATTATAATTGTTATTGGTATTTGTTTTTTTTTCATTAGCTCATGAGATTTATGAAGCCATTGTAATACTGACATGCTAGTTGACAGTTGCATAGCCTAACATGATCTGTTTGTCTAATGAAAGATTGCTGTGTTAGTGCTTCTAAAACTTTGATTTTCTTCTTGCTCACAGACAGCAAGAAGCACAAACTCCAGCTGTCTTGCCTAACTCTGCTTTGAGTTCATTTACTGTGATTATGGCTAAACTAACTCTTCGTACCTACACTATCTGATTGAGTCTTCAAACATTTTATGTAATAAAAGTGTGGGATTTTGCAAAGCTTTGAAAAGAAAAATTCGGAGGCCAATTCGTATTAGGAGACCCTGTGCAGAGACCAACAGTGGGATAGACATTGCGTATGCTTGCAAGGTTGAAGGTTGTCTTAAGCTTTTTTTGTGTGTTATTTTTTCATTACAGATTCTGATTGTGAGCAGTTGTGATTTTCATTTGCTTGGTGTGTCTATTACTTTCCACCAGTGGAGTATGTGGATTTATTAGGTTCATTAGTATACAGTCATTGATGTGGTTAGTAGTGATCTTCCTAAATTATTTACCCTCCTTCCTCCTCCTTGTTCCTCTTTCCTCCACCCTCCTCCTTGTTCCTCCTTCCTCCTCCCTCCTTGTTCCTCCTTCCTCCTCCCTCCTTGTTCCTCCTTCCTCCTCCTTCTTCCTCCTCCCTCCTCCTTCCTCCTTCCTCCTTCCTCTTCCTCCCTCCTCCTTCCTCTTCCTCCTTCCTCCTTCCTCCTTCCTCCTTCCTCCTTCCTCCTCCCTCCTCCCTCCTCCCTCCTCCTTCCTCCTTCCTCCTTCCTCCTTCCTCCTTCCTCCTTCCTCCTCCCTCCTCCCTCCTCCCTCCTCCCTCTCCCTCTCCCTCTTCCCTCTTCCCTCTTCCCTCTTCCCTCTTCCCTCTTCCCTCTTCCCTCTTCCCTCCTCCCTCCTCCCTCCTCCCTCCTCCCTCCTCCCTCCTCCCTCCTCCCTCCTCCCTCCTCCCTCCTCCCTCCTCCCTCCCCTCTTTCTCCCTCTCCCTCCCTCTCCCTCCCTCTTCCCTCTTCCCTCTTCCCTCTTCCCTCTTCCCTCTTCCCTCTTCCCTCTTCCCTCTTCCCTCTTCCCTCTTCCCTCTTCCCTCTTCCCTCTTCCCTCTTCCCTCTTCCCTCTTCTAGCTTTTGTTTTTCTCCTCTGCCCTCTTTTCCTTTCTCCTTCTCTCCCTCTCCTCCCCCCTCCTTGGTTGCCTCTTCCTCCTCCTCCTCCTCCTCCTCCTCCTCCTCCTCCTCCTCCTCCTCCTCCTCCTCCTCCTCCTCCTCCTCCTCCTCCTCCTCCTCCTCCTCCTCCTCTTTCTTCCTTTTGTTAATGGGGTTGTTGTTTTTTTCTCTTAGATATTTTGTATTTTCAAAAAAATATTCTAACCCACTTAACACTCACGATGAATGATCGTCGCCTGCAGTTCTTTGAAAATCATAACATATCTGTGTTTAACAATCCAACAGTATTCATTTGCTTGTCAGTGTCAGGAGAATTCATTGATGTCCAAATCCCAAAACACAGCACAGTGGTCAACCACATGGCAGCATTACCTGTGTCTGGTGGATGCCAGTTAGTATTTTGTTTGTGCCTGCTTTCTTTCTCTTCATATGTTTGTTTTGTTTGTTGATGTGTAGGTTATTAATTATTGTTGTATTTTTTTTTTTCATTTGCGTTTTTATTTTTCTGTATCTGTTTAGTGGTTGATATGATTTCTGTTTTATAATGGTTCTCCTATTTTCTTTTTTTTCTTCTTTTATTCGCCATTATTTTTTTCTCTCGCTGTCTTTGTAATTCATCGACCACCTGCCGGCATGTTTTTTTTTTCTCTGTCTCTCTCTCTGTGTGCTTTTCTTTATCTCAACTTATGATGTGTATTTTGTTCTTTTTTTTTGTATCTTGTAATTTTTTGTTATTTCTGTTTAATCATTGCATTTCTTCCTTATCTTTATTTTCAGTTGTGTAAATTCAGCTGTAAAGCCTATGTTTTTCCAGTCAGTAATGGTTACAGAGTGTATAACACTCTGGAGTGACTTGTATAATTTTTGGATTGCATGATCTTAACATGAAGTGGAAAATGGTTCTGATACAACAGTTTTAGACAAAAGAGATTGTATTTAATTGGTGCATGTGAAACACACACTTAACCACACATGCATACACAAATGCTCCTGTATGTGTAATCACACACACACACTCATACATTTACTGCCTAGGAACGTATATGTACATAGAATCACACTTATTTATATATGGTATATGTATTATATTTATAGTTCTCAACCTTTGTAATTTTGTGACACTGGAGATATATCCTGGACTTCTGCAACACACCAGTTCTATACTCCATTGATATATGAATACTAATATTTTATATATGTATATAATTAATATGTTTGCTTGAAAATATACAAACTTCTGTAAGTTACTCTTATGACATAACTTAACGTATTGGACTGGATTAAGTTGTGCATGAATGACCAATAGGCTTACTTGAGAGGTGAATCTCCAAGTCCTCTTTGTTATGATATTAGCTCTTATTCTACATGTACTGTTTTTACCATTTTCTGAGATCTGTATTTGTCATTGTTATGCTGTATCAAGGTGGTAATAGACTGTTTTCCCTGAGCAAACTCCATATCATTTCCAGATAGTCTTCAACTGTGTGCAATAACAATAACAGTTAGTAACAATATGATATTGTATGTTTTCATATATTTTATTTTTGCATCACACCCTGTGCTTCTAGTCAAGGTGAGCAGAAATAAGATGTAGGGTCCTTGCTGTAGATCCTCAAGGCATGGCTCACATTTACCAGTGTAGATAATGCAAGAGATACTTTCTAAAGGGCCATGGAATTCAATCTCCTCTCAAGAACAGTGAGATGTTCCCATCAGCTGCCACATGGCAACACTATCTCATGAGGACATGTTCCTGTCACCTTGGCCCTTAGCCAGATTTTTCCATGACAACACATTGCCATCATCTGCCACTCACCCAAATTTTTCTCATGTGGTGATGTCCATGTTACCTGGATCCAAGGGCTTAATAGATTCCTGTTGATAGGAAATTTAGATTAGGTTTAGTTTTGCCATGAAATGTACATATGTCACCTGATGGCAAAGGGTTAAAGAATGCAGTTGTCATCTCTTTTATTAATGTTTTGTGTACAGTTATGAAGGGAGAATTTTGTGCAAAGTTCTCTTTTTATATTTTATAATGTTTTGTGAGGGAGCCATTGTTTTTATATCAACTAACTAATTATAATAGCTCCCCCTACAAAAATTTAGCACATGGTTGTATTTATTGTTATTTTAATCAGTGATTTTCCACATTTAGATTTGAATTATAGTCTGGATGTTTATGATCTGCACATGATAAAAGAAAAGTTAGCAATTGAGCCATAGATTTGAGGAGTGGAATCTAGGAAAGTGAATAATTGTTTTTAGTGTAATATCTTGATTTCAAAAGTCAGATGACAATTTGAAAATTAGGCTAGGTTAATTTTCACCTATACATATTGTTTACTTTTGAAGCTGTTTATCTCACATTTCTGTTAAAACATTAGTATACTGTATAATTTTTTTCTCTACCTCTGACTACTGAACTGGAATTTTGCCTTCAGCAATTCTGATACCGTACTAATATTTGTGATTGAGGTTGTCTTAACACTAGAGCAGTTGTAAATTTTCCCCTGGATGGTGGAATTTTACATGGCAAGGCCTAAACCCATACCAGTGTTGCAGGCCAGTGTGGCTGACCTTGCTAGTTTGTGTGTGCATTAACATGGAGTTGATTACACTTGTCTTTAGCAGAAGTATTGTTATATTAAGTGACTTTAACATCTCATTTGATTTATCAGAGAACCTGATGATACTTCCGGTATATGTGTGATTTTTTTGAGTGAGTGGATAGTATAGATTTTAATTTACTAATCAAAAAATGTTTTGCACTGATGATTAAGGCTTTCATTTATATTTTAATGTTGTGCTTTTATGCTGGCTGTATTTATATTTTTTGTGGGAGTCCATGATAAAAGAAAAGTTAGCAATTGAGCCATAGATTTGAGGAGTGGAATCTAGGAAAGTGAATAATTGTTTTTAGTGTAATATCTTGATTTCAAAAGTCAGATGACAATTTGAAAATTAGGCTTGGTTAATTTTCACCTATACATATTGTTTACTTTTGAAGCTGTTTGTCTCACATTTCTGTTAATACATTAGTATACTGTATATTTTTTTCTCTACCTCTGACTACTGAACTGGAATTTTGCCTTCAGTAATTCTGATACCGTACTAATAATTGACCATACAGTGTTGCAGGCCAGTGTGGCTGACCTTGCTAGTTTGTGTATGCATTAACATGGAGTTGATTACACTAGCTCTTGGTCTTGATGTGTAAAGTGGACACTCAGGGATGGGTGAGGGATATATACTGTACACCCATCATCCATCAGTGAGTGTCCACTTTAGCAGAAGTATTGTTATATTAAGTGACTTTAACATCTCATTTGATTTATCAGAGAACCTGATGATGCTTCCGGTATATGTGTGATATTTTTGAGTGAGTGGATAGTATAGATTTTAATTTACTAATCAAAAAATGTTTTGCACAGATGATTAAGGCTTTCATTTATATTTTAATGTTGTGCTTTTATGCTGGCTGTATTTATATTTTTTGTGGGAGTCCATGGATAATAAGCAAAACAAATCCAGCTGAGTGGGTGAATGATGGAAAGAAAATTGAGAAAGACTGTATTAGTGTTTAAAGATATGATGAAGCAACTTGGAAAGAAAGCTTTATTTACATTTTTTCCTGAACATATACTTATACTTATGCTTAGTGAATAATGGTTTATTATTACTGTCTGCAAAATATACATGTTTGTGTGGAGTGTACTTTTTTGTCAACTAATAATTGGAAAAAAGTAGTTTGTAGATGACTTTTCAGTGTCATTAAATCTCTCAGGGTATGCATGCAGTTATAAATGTACCAGGACTGTCAGCATAGAATCATCAAGTTACAAGTGTTTGAAGTCCAACCCCACCTCTACAGAAAAAAATATTAATGATAGAAGTTGGTAATACATAATCAACAGACTCAGTAGGCTCTTTTCATAACATAACTGTCTCACACAGGCAAACCATATCCTAGAACTTCATGATACTTAACCCATTGGATCCTTGTACCTCATAGCTTCCTTGAGTAGTAACTCTCAAGGTTGTGTGGCTGGTATGTTTGGCCCACACTCACACTCATACTCACACAAGGTATCAAGACTTCTTCCCTCCTCTTTGCAAAGCTAGCACCCTTCTATCATATTCATTTTATATGTTTTGCTATTTCTTAAGCTCAATATTTATTTTTTTATGCGCTATCAAGAGGATGATAGACTGTTTTTGTTGAGCAAACTCTATATTATCTCTCTAGGTAGTTTACACTCTGTGCAATAACGTAGCAGTAAGTCATATTGTGTTATATTTGTTATTTTACACTTTTGTATTATTCAATTTTGTGTACACACCATATGCCTTCAGCAAGAAGGTGCAAGAATAAGTTCTGTGCATGGACATAGTGTCCTCCCTGGAGAATGCAATCTCCCAGGCATGATTGACAGATGATAAACTTCATGATCATGGATCAGTGAAAATCTTATAAGAGCTTGATTGACAGATGGTAATCCTACATGAGTTAGCAAATAAGTCCCACTTATTTGATCTCACTTCAAATGCTTTGTGAATTTATGACCAATTTTTTTCCCATGATGAGATTTCCTGTCTTTCAGCCATTTTTTTCATGGCAAAATGTCTGTGTCATCTGGATCCATTGGGTTAAATGATCTCTCATAGTGAGTTATGAGGTAGTGCATAAAACAGGGAACATTGACAAGGAGATTGTAAAACTATCTTTATTTTAATTACTGCATGACATGTAAAATACTCATACATAATAACAGATTTTTGGAAACTAAAGGGTCTTTGTTGCTTTTTCCGCTCTCTACTGTGTTTGAAAGTAAATATGTACTTTTCCAAACTGTGACCACTGGAGTATAAACTACAGATTTATAACTTTCAAGCAAATTAGTGACTTTGGGTTGTGTAGATGTTTTAGTTGTAAAAGTAAGATCAGATTTAAGAAATAGTGTTTTAAGTAATAACTTCAAAGGGTTACTATATTAAACCATAATATTACTTTTTCTTCTTTTTTTGAGTAATGCAGAAGAAAGTCTTTGTGTGTGTTTGGTCTGTGTTTATAATCTGAATTGTTACTTGATAAGTGAAAGCATTCACTGAGTTATTGATTTAACCCACTGATTGCTGGGAGAGCAAATATACGTGCCATTTCCACTGTGATTTTAGCCTATTGGTTTTGTTTACACGTATATGGCTTCATAAGAGCTTAGTCAACAAAGTCAATTGCTAATCCTACTTGATTTCACTTGTTCAACCTTTACCTTGATTTATGAAAGTATTTGTAGTTTTTTTATTTATGGCTGTTAGTAGGGTTTAGAATATCGTAATAACTATAATCAGTAATGAAGTAAATGATAATAACAGTCTTAAAAGCATTAAAAAAAAGGCATTGGGTAATTAGGTGAGGTCAAATAGGCCTACTAATTAATTCTTTGGTGACTAAACACTTCTAAACGAAGTTAATAAACTAAAATAAATCACAGTTAACAGGGCTTGTACATTTGCCCTCCCAGTATCAGTGGGTTAATATTAAGAGATGAATATGTATGTATAAAAATTTTAGTATGATTAAAAATAGACATTGGTCATAACCAATTTATGTATATTTTCTCTCATGCAAAAAATGTAATATCTTGTTTTATCATGTGCAATTTTACTCAATTGTTTTATCATGACAGGATGAAATTAAGACATTTTTCTTTCACTGGAAGACTTATGTCCATCTACGGCTTTTTCCCATGGAGTCTATTTCCTCCTGTTCTATGTAACTCTCCTTTTGCAGACGGTATGTGGTCAATGAAACACTGTTCAGCGAGATGATAACTGCAGCAGAGGCAGCGCCAGGCTCTTACAATGCTTTAGGGGGTAATGCTCCCGTCATGGCTTCTCGGTTTGCCAAAGAGGGAGCAAAGGTTCTCCTTGCTGCCAAACGCAGCCCATATATCATGGAGGAGATTCATCCTGATATTGTGGGTGAGTTGTAGGTGTTTATGCTTTTGTATATATTGGTATTGTCATATTTTTGTTAGTGAATGAGTATGAGTTTAGAAGTAATTAATGAAAATGATCTTTTTGTCTTAGTAGATATTGAGGGAGAACATTTTCAAGATCATGTATTCATTAAAAAAAGTCCTTCATGTATTAATTCAGATTTTATTACACTTTGACCATTTACAAATTTATCTTTGCAGTTGGAGGAGGAGATGTTGATGGAGTTGATGACATTCACCTGATCTTAGAGTACAAGACAGGGGAGAAATGGGGAACCTATGAGGCACCTCGAGCAAATAGGTAACTAATAATAATTATCGTTGATGTAGTCATAATCATTCTTTCTGTTACAGTAAATGTCAATGATAGTGTTTAATTTTTTTTAATGGTTTAAAATTTTCCCACCTGTAAGGATGCATTTCTTTATAACTAGTGCTGCGAGCAAGAAAACTATTATTCATTGCTGCTTATATGATTAAGACTTCTAAGCATGTTATTCAACATAGCTTTTTGTTTTCAGTTTACTCTATTTGTATGTTAAAAATTCTTACTAAAATGAGATATACATAGTGGATATTCCAACATATGAATGCTATAAAGCATTATTTTACTTGTTATTAGTTATAAATCAGAACATATTACTGAATCAGGAAATTCATTAAAAAAATTGTAATAGTAGTACTTGTAAAGTTTACAAGGAAGTGAGGACTCTTATTTTTGAGTAACATCAGCTTGAGTAATAACATGTAGTGAAGGAAAAGTGTCAGTTATACTTGACATTTGTCACAAACAGATGTATTTCTTTCTTTTTCCTTTTCTTCTTCTTATTATTAGCGTCATCTTTTCTTCTTTGCAGATTTATTGTGCACAGTGATGATAGCAATCCAACCCTGAGTTCAGTTGAAGAGTTTGGTGGACATTTACCCTCGTTCAAGCCACATTTACTCGTTGTTGGAGGTCTTCAGATGATGGACAACTTTCCCTTCCAGTCAGGTAAAATTGTGTGCTAGATGTGCAGGTAGAAGTTTTAATGGCATTACGTTCATGAAATATGAATAAATAGATGTATATAAATTGTTCATGAAATATGAATATATAGATTTATATAAATTGTTCATGAAATATAAATAAATAGATGTATATAAATTGATATTAATTAAGAATTTGATAATTGAAAAAAGTATTTATTACTGATCATTACATCATTTTTAGAATGATTATTACATTATGGTAATTATGCATTTTTAAATTATTTATCAGTCATTTATCATATCTTCTTACCATTCCCCACACCTCACCGTTAACTTTAATACTTCATCTGGCAGGCCGTCGTCAGGAACGTCTAATGGCCGTGCGGGACCAGATGAGCTCCCTCCCCTTCACGACCAGAATCCACTTTGAGATGGCTTCCTTCACTGACACTGACCTCTTGAACGATCTCATGGACTATGTGGTACCCTATTCCGATTCTCTGGGGATGAACGAACAGGTGAGGTTGTGCACGAGGGTGGTTAGTAGTTTTAGGGGGTGAAGGTAATTTTTCGTCGGTTGGAATCGTTTTTTCTTGTAAGTTTGCGATTTTATAATTAAGGCAGGGTATCTTTCTGTGCTGGGATATGTGTAGATAGAGATGGATGGATGGATCGGATGGAATGGATGGATTGGATGGATTGGATGGATTGGATGGATAGATGGATTGGATGGATTGGATGGAATGGATAGGAATGGGTGAGTGGATGGATGAATGGATGGATGGATCGACAGATGGAATTAGTGGATAGGTGAATTGATGGGTAGATGGATAAATAGATAGACAGATGGACAGAAACAGACTGATTAGAGAAATTAGACAGACAGACAGACAGACAGACAGACTGATTAGAGAGATTAGACAGACAGACAGACAGACTGACTGATTAGAGAGATTTGACAGACAGACAGACAGACAGACAGACAGACAGACAGACAGACAGACAGACAGACAGACAGACAGACAGACAGACAGACAGACAGACAGACAGGCAGATGAGAAATAATTAGATAGGTAAATAGATTGATACAGATATAGATATAGACATAGATTGCATTTAGATCTATGATTGAAGTGGTTGTAAGTGAGATTCATATCATAAGTACAATTGATTTTGTAGGAAATTGATAATATTCTAGCCCACTGTCAACTCTCTGTGTTGCAGGAACTTCCAAATCTGTACAGCATGATGAAGTATGGAAACGTCAGTCTTGTATCGGACTTCAACCCTCGTGTTGCTGTTGTTCTTGATCAGATGAGAGAAATTTTCAAGTGAGTTGAGATAAGTCTGTTGAGTTAGTTATGACAGAAGCATATTATAACTATTACAGAAGTATTTATGTTGGATATTGTATATATTGCTGTGTCATTGGGCATCGTTTTGTTATTTAATGCATATTTTGATCAGATCAGATTGCCTTTTACTTGCTGTGCATGTAAAATAAATAAGTCAGTTTACAGAAATGATGATTCTGCTTTATGCATTTATTCTTGCAGAGGAATGTCACAGTTTTGGTATTTCTTATTTTTTGTTGTTGTACAGAAATGATTTTATTCTATTTTATGAATCCAGCAGCATTCCCACACATACTCACAGGTATTTTTCATCTGCAATAAAAAGTCACTGTGACTTTCTCCCTACAGGCAACTAGGAGACACCCCAGAGGTGGGTGGGAAGAGGAGGCTGACTCGCTTGCACCTCCACACCCTTGCATTCCAGGCCATCATGGTGAGAAAGGGGTCTCCCTGGCTTAACTCCATGGCTGCTGCAACAAAGGCTGCACTCACGGCAAATCGACATGTGTGTGGCAATTCTAAGGTGAGGAGTAAGAGTAAGGTATGGGGTTGAGTTTCAAGGAGTGTCATTTGGGGAGAGTTGGTGTTTAGTTAGGAACCTCTTTTCTTCTTGGTTTTATGTTTGCTCTTCATTCTCTTCTATTTGGATGTCATTTCTTTTCCTTATGGGTTCATTTCCTCATTTCCTTGTTGGATCTTCTTTTCGTCCTTTTGGTTGTCTTTTTTTTTTTTTTCTACTTGTAAATCCTTTTTTTTTTCTTTCTTTTTCTTCTCTGTGATATTCTTTAATTCCTATTTGTTTAATTATATAAAAAACAGCTAGAACTCTTTGCCACTCACATTGAAATACTATAAAGATATACTGTAAGTTTAATAGGAATTGGTGATCTTGATGTATTATATCTATGAATTTATAGTTTATATTTGATAAGCATTATATTTTCTTGCATGAACTTCTCACTTCTCATTCATTTTACAAACACCTCTAATCCCACAGATCAACTTGCGAAATGCCAAAATCCTAATGGACGACGGCTTCACACTGTCCCAAGAAGCAGGAGCGGGAAGGGTCATGTTTGACAACCAACATCCCGTGGCATGTTGGACTGAAGACGATGGCAATATAGAGGTAAGGGAAATGTGGCGATGGTTAGGGATAGTGTTGTTAGTGTGTTTTTTGTGTGAGGGAGACTGTTGTAGTTATTGTGCTTTTTCCTGTTTTGTCACCTTCTGTTTTTTTTCTTTTCCTTGCTCTTTGTTTTGCTTCTCTTCTTGCCATTCCTGTAGCTCTTCCTTTTCCTCTCCTTGCTCCTCCTTTTCTTCATCTTGTTCTACCTTTTCCTTCACCTGCTCTTCCTTTTCCTCTCCTTGCTCTTCCTTTTCTTCATCTTGTTCTACCTTTTCCTTCACCTGCTCTTCCTTTTCCTCTCCTTGCTCTTCCTTTTCTTCATCTTGTTCTACCTTTTCCTTCACCAACTCTACTTTTTCTTGCTCCTGTCCTTCCTTTTTGCTCTTCCCACTTTGTCTTTTCCTCTAATTTTGCCATTTCCTCCCTCTGTTCTTTTCTCTTCTCCAGCAGCTATTCCCTTTTCACCTTTACCCTCTTCCTCGTTGTTTTACTTTTAATTTTCCATTATTTTCATCTTTTTCTTCCTCCTCCTTCCATTACCACTTCCTCCTCTTCCTCCTCCTCCTTCCTTTATCTCCTTGTCTCTTTCCTCTTGCTTTTCTTTTACCTCCTTTAACTTTGCTTTTTCCTCTTGGTGGTCAATTTTTTCTTCTTCCTCTTTCTCCTCAAACTACTGTTCTTTCATTTCCTCCTCTTCCAATTTCCCTTTTTCTCTTTCTTTTTCTTTTTTCCTTCTGCTCTTTCTCATTCTGCTTTTTTTTCTCCTACGGTTCTTCCCTTTCCTCTTCTTGCTCTTCCTTTTCCTCCTCATCTGATTCTGTCTTATATGCTTGCTTTTTCTCCTGGTTATCTTTTTCCTCCTTTAGGTCCTTTCTTTTCTTTCTTGAATTAATTCCCTCCTTTCCTATATTTCATTTCCTCCTGTTTTCCTTTTCTTCCTGCTTTTCTTCTTCTTCCTCCATTTTCTTCATCTACATCCTTTTCCTCTCCCTGCTATTCCTCCTTCATCTCTTCCTCTTAATCTGTCTTTTCCGCCTCTTGAGGCTCCTGCTCTTCCTTTTTACTTTTTTTCTTCCAGTTTTCTCCTCCTCCTCCTCCTCCTCCTCCTCCTCCTCCTCCTCCTCCTCCTCCTCCTCCTCCTCCTCCTCCTCCTCCTCCTCCTCCTCCTCCTCCTCCTCCTCCTTTGTCTTTTCCTCCTCCTTTGTCTTTTCCTCCTCCTTTGTCTCTTCCTCCTCCTCCTCCTCCTCCTCCTTTGTCTCTTCCTCCTCCTCCTTTGTCTCTTCCTCCTCCTTTGTCTCTTCCTCCTCCTTTGTCTCTTCCTCCTCCTTTGTCTCTTCCTCCTCCTTTGTCTTTTCCTCCTCCTTTGTCTCTTCCTCCTCCTCCTCCTCCTCCTCCTCCTCCTCCTCCTCCTCCTCCTCCTCCTCCTCCTCCTTTGTCTCTTCCTCCTCCTCCTCCTCCTCCTCCTCCTCCTCCTCCTCCTCCTCCTCCTCCTCCTCCCCTCCTCCTCCTCCTCCTCCTCCTCCTCCTCCTTTTCCTCCTCCTTTGTCTCTTCCTCCTCCTTTGTCTCTTCCTCCTCCTCCTTCTTCTTCTTCCCCTCCTCCTCCTCCTCCTCCTCCTCCTCCTCCTCCTCCTCCTCCTCCTCCTCCTCCTCCTCCTCCTCCTCCTCCTCCTCTGTCTCCTCCTAGTCTGTCTCCTCCTAGTCTGTCTCCTCCTAGTCTGTCTCCTCCTCCTCCTCCTCCTCCTCCTCCTCCTCCTCCTCCTCCTCCTCCACCTCTTTCTCCACCTCCTCCTCCTCCTCTTTCTCCACCTCCTCCTCTGTCTCCTCCTCATCTGTCTCCTCCTTTGTCTCCTCCTTCTCTTCCTCCTCCCCCATCTTCTTCTCCATTGCCTCCTCTTCAGTATTTAAATAAGCATTAAGTAGCTTTTAATCAATACTTAAAAGGAGTGTAAATTACAATAGCCAGATGTCCAAAAGAATGACCAATGTATATTACTTAACTGAGTGTATCTTGATCATCTTGGTATTCGAGGTATTAGATTTTGTAAGGGTGTGTTGGAATGTTGAAATTCTTCATAGATTTATTATTTTTTCTCCTTTATTTTTTACTCCCTCTTTTTCCTTCTCTCTTTTCTATTCTCTCATTTTTTTTTAGTTGATAATCCCCTGACCCCAACAGATATGTGTGGCTCCTGTCCTTGTGTGTACCTCAGTCCGGCACACGGCAGGTGGTGGAGACAACATTTCAGCAGCTGGCCTGGTTCTGCAGGTGTAACATGCAGGTGCACTTCTTAGTCTTTTACCGAGAGAGAAAAGTTTTTGCGTTTGAAGAGAATTCTTATCAGATATCTGTTAGGGTGAACTTACATTCCATGTCAGGAATCTTTTTTATTTAATGGGAGCTAGAGGTGGATGTCTTTAAGAGCCAGAGTATTTTAATGATTTCCAGTGCCTTGTGTCTTGCATGTTGCAAGAAGAAAATATATTTTATGGAATAGTAATAAGAGATATTTTTGTTAGGTATAGTGATGCTGATGGTGTTTAAGGTAAGATAGACTCATTCTTTTAAAGTTTGAGTTGTGTAATTGATTCAGTTTGTATGCAATTGAAAATTGTGAAAAGATGAGATTATTGTCATTAATAGCAATAGTTGTTATCACCTCAGTATGTGTTCATATTTTATTTTTTATTAATTTCTGTATATAGATATTTTTTCTAGTGCAGTCATATTGTTGAGACTGGAAACTAGTTGAATTTTTCTAGAAAAGATTTATATAAGGAGAAAAAAGAAGTTATCATCTCAGGAGAAACCAACAACCACCCAGATACCGAGTTATGTTTGTAATCAAAGGTAGCTAAGCTTGAATGGGATTTCTTTCCAAAGTCTCAGTTACAAGTAAATGAATGTGAATCCCCCCTCCCCCAGTGAAGAAAGCTGGTAAAATGAACTCCAAGAAAAAGAAGAAAAAGAAAATGTTCATATCTATAAAGAATTGGTCATAAGTAGCCATGAAAATTTCTGATCATAAATGTTGAAAGAGCCATGTCACACTATTGATATGAAAGCTTACATAGTTCAGCAAAAGAAAACCAATGCATAAAAGAGAGAATTGGGTGCGTTTTCCTCAGCACAGCATAAGGAAGAGCCAAGAGAAGACAAAGTATGCGTGTTATATCTCAATCCCACTTATATTTTATCTATTTTCTCAACTGCTGTTCTCCTTCTTTTTGTCTTAACATTTGAATAGAAGCAAAGTTGACATGTTGCAATATGAAGGGTTTCACAGATCCCTGTTGCACAGAAGTATGTGTCATATAGTCCTGTTATTTGGTACTTGGGTGGGGTTTGAGGTATTTTTCTGCTGGAAAATGTGTTTTATTCAGCTTTCTTGTATGTGATGTTAAGGATTGTATAATGTTTGTGGGGATGAAATGATTAGGAAGAGAGTGTAGATTGAAAGTTTTTAATATGATTTATGTCCAGTGTGCAGATTCCTTGTCACCCATTATAAATGATATATGAGCTATGATTGTAAATTTTATTTTGATTTTTTTTTGATAATCATTTTTTTTTTTCCCTGATACATTCCATTTTTTTTTCTGCCAGAATTTGTTACATAATCATTAATTTTGTTTTTTTTTCCCCTTTTTATATGTATGATTAAGGCTGTATAGGTAATTTCTAATCCATAGACCTATATTTCTGTTATTCTTATCCATTTAGAATTATGGTTTTGTCACTAAATGACCCATGATAAATTAGGTTAGGGGCTTAACCCAATGCCGCTGGGTGGTTTCCCGGTGTGAAAGCCCTCTCTCCTGGGCTGTATTCATAGTGGCTCGGGCCCTGCTACCGGGGGATTGCGTCGGCACCATAGTGTGCACAGCATGACTGTAAATGCCCCTGGAAAACAGGACCGGCGCACTATGGGATGTATGCACATACCACCCAGAATATAGTCCACCCAGAATATAGTCCAGGTGGCATGTACATGCCACCTGGCGGCAAAGGGTTAATGTAATAGTGTTGTTGTTATTAATTGTTTTATGAATTGTACAACTTTTTGGAAAGGACAGAAAGGAGCAAAAACTATTATTTTTCACATTTCTATTTGTGAAGTATATTGCTATACAATTTACTAGGAAAGAAAAAGTATTAGTCAAGATTTATTTAATTTTATTTGAGAATAAAGTTCTAATCTAGATGTGTCTCAATTCTGACTTGACAATAAATTGTTCAGGAGGTGTTGCTAGGCTGTCCATATCTTCATTATAACACTACTACGATTATCATTTAAATTTTATTATTAGCACTACCTTCATGATGAAAGAGTCTATGGTTAATATCATATTTTTATTTTGGTGCTAATGGCTATATGGGTATTGTACACTGCTATAAGTTACTTAAAAGCATTGCTATGGCAGGGTATTTCATTAGTACTATTGGGAGCTATTTTTATCAATAGAGCTAATAGGTAACATAAGCATTGCTTTCAACTTTGCTAGTCATATTGTACAGAACTAGCAATTGCACTGTTATTGTAAAAAAAAAAGAAGTAGAACATGGTGCATAGTAGCATCATTATTTCTATTATTCCAGTTATTATTGTCATAAGGTAATCAAATTGGTGGCCATATTGTCTCTAGCCTCTATAGATGCTTTACTTTTATCTACAGTAGATCTCTGTTAGTTAATATTACATTTTATGTTTCAAATGATGTCTTTACCTGTTGTCAAACACTCCTTAGCACCTTCTGATTATTATTATCAGGGAAGGCTATTTGTTGAAGGCTGCTACATAGGCTGTTGTAAACTTGCCTATGTTATCCGTCTTGTAAAAGGGAAAGGGAAAGAAAACAGCTGGAATATTTATATGGGTTTTATGCCAGAGAGTGAGAAGAGTCGAAAAGGAGACCATGAAAATGCTTGTGTTTTAGAGCCTTTTAAATGGTGTTTATGTTTTTTTTTGTTTATTAATGTTTAATCATTGTGTTATTATTCAAACTATTTGCTGTAATGACTAAAGGTTATGTGAAACAAATTGTCATAAAATAAGCCTAAGCAAGGAACTATAGTGTAACTATTTATTTTATGTCTTCTTTTTAAACTTAAATGGATGTATCTCAGATTTTAGCATTTTAAAGCATTTTGTGGGATTTAGTTAAATTTGTGATATCTTTAACCTGACAGAAGTTTTTTTTGGGAAAGAAGCTTGTATTTTGTGATCTTTTTTATTTTTCATTTATGATGTAGAGAGAGTCTGTAAGTCACAAATATGGAAAACAGAGAGAATACAAGATTTTACTTATATTAGAGAAGGTTATGATATATTGTGAAAGAAATATAAATTAAATATTACAACTAGAAATTACAACAAGAAAGAAAAAGATGTGATAAATAGTATTGGACAGCAAGGGTTATCAAAGGATTATTTTCATAGTTTGCCGTTTAAAAAAATGGGAAGAAGTGTGTTTGGAATGCCAGGGTGTTTCAATAGTTTTCCAGTCATTTTAGACTAGCTGTTGACTTTACGGTTCATTTGATGATGTACTAGTCTTGTTACTGTTGTTTGTATTCTTCTTCTTCTTCTTCTTCTTCTTCTGATAATTATTTTTATTATTATTGTTACTTTTATTATTATCATTATTATTATCATTATTATTATTATTATTATTATTATTGTTATTATTATTATTATTACAATTATTATTATTGTTATTGTTATTATTAACATTAACATTAATATTAACATTGTTAGTATTAATAATAATAATAATATTATTATTATTATTATTATTATTATTATTGTTATTATTATTATCATTGTCATTATTATCATTATCATTATTATTATTATTATTATCATTATTGTTATTGTTATAGTTATTATAATGTGAATATTATGATTTTTCTAATTTATTTAAGGATTTGTTTTGCATAAGAAGTAACTTCACACATTTATTATTATTTCTTTATTTTCCCTTTACAAGACATCTCGAGGTCGTGCAATAGTCTGGAATCCAGTTGATTTTCGCCATGCTTACATATTCTGGTTTATGCGGTGCTTCAAAATGTTTGCTCAATATTATAAGTTAGTCTTCAAGTCAGTGGGGGGGAGACTAGGGTAGTGGGGGCCATGTTACTGACTGATCATTTTCAGCTTGGGAGTTAATTGTGGTCGTGCAGTAGTTGGGAATTGTTGCTGACTATGATTGCACACCAATCCACATGCAAACACTAAGACGAACATTGCAATGTGATGCATGGTCAGAGTGGAAGGAATTTTGTAGCGCAGCAAAGGTTTCCGTTGCCTCCTGATGTCTCTGGAAATATTCGGAAGAAGAGGAAAGGAGAAATTACAATCAGTTTTTGTTTTGTTTTGTTTTGTTTCTTAAGGCAGGAATGTAGTTCTACAATTAAGAGAATGTGAAGAGTTTGATAGTCTTGGTATTTTTTGTTCAGTTTAGAAATGAGTGTGTTCAGTGGCCAGATAAAGCTTGACTAATGGTACTTAATGTAAACTTAGTAGATTTAGAAGGATTTTTGTTTTGTTGACATTTTTAAGCTGTTGAAGAGAAATTTCCACAAAACATATGATCATTGTGTTTGTTTTTATTATTATTATGATTATTATTATTATTATTATTATTATTTGTCATTATCATCACTATCATTATCATTGTTATTGTTCTTCTTATTGTTATCATCCTCATTGTCCTCAAAATTATCACCATCATCATCATCAATCATCACCATCACCTCTGTCACCACTGTCACCATCACCATCGTCATCATCCTCATTGTCCTCATAATTATCAACATTGTCATCATAGTTGTCATTATCGTCATTATCGTCATTGTCACTGTTATCGTCATTGTCACCATCATCATCATCATCAATCACCACTGTCACCATCACCACCATCACTACCATCACTACCATCACTACCATCATCATCATCATCAATGATTTAATGATCATTAGTTGCAGAATTATTTTCTTCATATTGTTCTCTCCTTTTCTTTTATTTTTGATGTTTTAAATACTAAAGCACTTCCAGCTGGTGTTGAATTGTTTTGAATTGTGGTGAAGTGGTTAACATCATTAACATAGCCTTGGCCTTAAAGTGTATATGACAGAGTACTGATTAATGCTGAAAATATTGATGAGTGGTTAAGTGTAACGAGAGTTGTTTGGTGCGTGTGTTTGTGAATTTGTGCTTGTCTTTTTTGGTGTTGTTATCCATTGTATTTGCTCAGTATGTAAAAATTATATAGCCTATTTGATTTTATTTTAGATGGATGTTTAGAAGTGAGGTATATTTGTATAGTTATATTCCTGTCCATGAAATTGTCTTTTACACATGTACCCTAATGTTAAGGTGTTCTTTGTTCTGATACTTAAATTAATGAAATAAATATTTTTGGAAACGGACGGGCATAAATAAATTGATTGATTGATAGATAAGGATATATATGTGGCAATACTAACATGCTGTGTCAACGTGCATGTATGTATGTACACATACACATACACACATATGTGCATACATTTATATGCATTCTTGCTGGTATTTTTGCAAATATGCATATATTCATGTAACCAATTGCTTTACTTTTGTATATATGTATATGAATTAATTCTTTCACATGTTAGTATGTATGTATTTTTATTTTTGTTTTTGTTTTTTTTATTTATGTCCAGTATGTTTCTGAAATATATTTAAGTAGTTCATATTTAGAAAAGTACAAGAGTTACTCTCAGTGTATTATTCAGATGAATTTGTCAAAGATAAAGAATACCTTTGGATATATAATGATAAATTTTTGTGAATTTACTCTTAAGTATTTTTTAATTAGATGTGAATAGATATTTTTAAATGTATTGTTCAGGGGATGGAATGGGAGAAAATCTAGCATTGTATCCCCAATCCAGAAATAAAAAAAATTATTAAGTGCATTTAATATTACTGTGGAAGATGTTTTCATGGTTAGAATAATACGTCCAATAATAAAGATCATACGGGAAGACTGTTGTTTTGAGAAAGACCATAGATGTGAAAAAGAAGGAAGAAAGAAAAAAAGGAGATGGAGAAGAAAAGAAAAGGAAAAAAGAGTGAAAAAAGAAAAAGAAAGTTATGTAGAAAGCAAGAACATACATTATCTCAAATCTCACACTCACACTCACTTTCATTCTAATCTCATGCTCACACACACTCTAATCTCACACTCACACTTACACTCCCTCTCCCTCTCCCTCTCACTCTCCCTCTCCCTCTCCCTCTCACTCTCACTCTCCCTCTCACTCTCACTCTCCCTCTCACTCTAATCTCACACTCACACGCAGCACAGGCACACACACATAATGGAAGACAAGAACAGCAGATGGAGAAAAAGATATATAAAAAGAGTGAAAAAAAGAGAAGGAGAAGAAAATAAAAAGGAAAAAGTGAAAAAGAGAGAAAAAAGAAGTTATGTAGAAAGCAATTAAATACATTTTCTACTACATTTCCACATGACTATTTCCACTACACTCCCCCTCCCCCCACAAGCTCAAGCTTAGGCTCACACTAACTCTAATCTCACATTCACTCAAATTTCACACTCACACTCACACTCTCACTCACTCCCACTCTCACTGTAATCTCACACTCACACTCACTCTAATCTCACACTCACACTCACTCATACTCACTCTCATTCTCACTCATACTCACTCTCATTCTCACTCAAATCTCACACTCACACACACACACACACTCACTCACGCTCACTCACACTCACTCATACTCCCTCTCCCTCTCCCTCTCCCTCTCCCTCTAATCTCACTCTAATCTCACTCTAATCTCACTCTAATCTCACTCTAATCTCACTCTAATCTCACACACACACACACACACACACACACACACACACACACACACACACACACACACACACACACACACACACACACA